TGAAATAATTTAACTTAGGCCTTATGTATACCTTTTTTGAATAGTAATAAATTGCTACTAAACAAGTTTTCAAGTTTGTTTACGCTAGCTTATTAGCTTGCATACACTTGCCCTATACAGTAAGGATAGTGAGGACAAAAAAAAAACAATTTTTTTTACATAATTATTATGGAAAAACTAATAATGTATTAAAATTTTCAAATTATTATTAGGAAAGTACTTATTGAGTTAAAAATTATATTTAATAAAATTTTTGGACAAATTTGTAAAAGCTGCCCACATTGGTCTTTTTTCCCTATTTACGATTGAAAGACATGTAACTAAAAGCTCTCATAAGAATTTCTATCCTTTTTCCATCTTATATTCCCAATACAGCAGAATACTTCATTTTTTTCATGTTCTTACTTTGAAAAGTACTTTGAAAAAGAATTTGGGTTAAGGTTAAATGTACCTTAAATAAATATTTTTTTACAAAGCTGATTTTTTCCCCTAAAAATGCTTTTAAACTCATACTTTTGAAATTGTATTGACATCGTTTTTAGATAAACCTTTATGTTGGACTTTAAAATAGTCTGAAAAAGCGGATCAAAAGCTAAATCCAGGTTAAGTTGAAAACTTTCAAAGAGATGTTGGTACTTCATTGATACTCACATCTATGAATTTTATATCCCTTTCTATTTAAGTGTTAGATGCACAAAAGAAGTGAACACTTTTTTTTTTCAATATTTTTGTAAACATTATAGGTATACATGTATTTAAGTAAATATAAATAAATTTATAAAATGCGTACTTTTGCGTTAACATATGTATTATTATATACAATATATTTTTACGTAATGAAAATCAGTAATATCTAAATCTTAGTCAGATTTAAAAATTACAGAGGATTGTAATTACTTAACACTTCAGTAATGCTCACATCAAGGAATTTTATTCCCTTTTATATTTAAGTACTACGTAGACAAGTAAAAGTTGTGTTACATTCGTATATATTACGTATCAATATATTTTTGTAAATAAACTTATGACTACACATATTTTCATGCAAATATATAAATGTTTAGTTAAAAAATAATTGACAGAGGCAAATGCTGAATCCTTAAAAGATGCTTAGACCAAAAAATTTTATTTCCTAGTTATAAGGTCAAACATCTAGTTATGAGACAATATTTCTAAGACATTATTTCCTAGTTATAAAAGGAAACGTTTGGGGCAGTACTGTGATAATTTATAATATCGAGAAATTGAATTTAAGAGTACTTTTGGTGATAGAGATTAAGATTTCTATACAGGTAAAAAGATATTTCTCTATAATGTGTATTTATTTACTTGAAACTTAGGAAACATTTAAATTACCTCACAGGTAAAAAGATATTGCTCTATAATGTGTATTTATTTACTTGAAACTTAGGAAACATTTAAATTACCTCTTTGGAAACAATACTAAGGCACATCTTGATGTTCAACTACGAACTCAAAATATGTCGATTATCATTATTTTGTACCGAATTTATCAAAATTTATTTTTATTTCGTCAGANCAAAGTTTTGAAATATGTGTATGGCAAAAGTGTATGGCAAAATTTTGCCATAGGCAAAACCCCATAGGAATATCCTATGGCACTTTTTATGGCAAACCTATGGCAAATTTTCCTAAGGGAACTTCATGAATCCAGAATTGTATATGTTTTTGATATTTTACTTTGCCTTTTAAAAACTTACAAATTTTACTTAAGCGTTTATGCGATTTTTCCCCAAAACTGTTTAAAGTATATTTAAGCACGGGTGCTTTTTTAAGAAAAAAGGTTAAGCTTTTGGCAATTTATTTTCAATTAAAAGGTTTGATAAATCCCTGTTTCCAGTCCTTAATTTCCAAAACATTTTAAAAAGCCTTATTAAAAATACATGCGCCTATTTAATATATTTTTTAAACTAGGATCAAAGCAAAAATTTTTGTTCAAGAAACTCATACACTTAAAAAAATATCTTTGCACTTCCCTGATATCCCCCCATTGATTTTATAATCAAGAAATAGCTTTTTTATAACTTATAAATCTTACCATAACTAAATTCAATATATTCAGCTCTGTGCCATTCTAGGTAAAACTTAATTTTACATTTTTATTAGTTAGAAGTGCAGAGAATGTATATTGATTTCTATACTATGAACTCTATATTTGCATTATTTAGCAAATATTTGTTTATTTTCGAAACTTGTTTGGTAATTTAAATGCTGAAATTATTTAGGAATCACTGAATGATAATTATTCAATTAAAAATCTTGAATATGTTTTTCCTAACGATACTTTTTTAAGTAACATTTGTATCGGAATATTTATTTATCTCAAGGAAAAGAGTACTCTCATCTCAATGAAGAATCACAGATGAAAAATCTCGTACAGATATATATTTAATACATATATATACATATTGTATATAAACTGCTGTTTGTAGAAAATGCAACACCATGAAGGAATCATCAGAATCAAATGAAATATTATTTTAATAATGGATGTACTGATACAAATAAATCTTTCGAAACCAAANAAATAAATAAACAAAATTCTTATGAAAATGTTCATGTTTCCATAAATATCCAAGCTAGGCTTGAGAAATTTTGTGCACTTATTGCATATAACAACCAAAATAATTTTTAAAATACACGTGCAATATATATATATATATATATATATACATATGTATATATAAACATAATATTTGTCCCCCATTAACTTATAATTTAAATGAAACTTTAAGCAAAATGCTAAAATAAAAAAACATTTGGTAGACGCAGTGTGTGCAGCCAAAAAAATTAGATATGAATAAAAAAAATTTTGCATACACTCAAAAACTTAGATACCTTTTCTAAACCGTTATTCGGTATGTACTCCCTATATCTGTTACTCTGTATCTGTTACTCTCTGTAAAATCTGTTTTTATTGAATTTTTTAATTATTTGTTTGTTCAATATTTTGAATTTTTCTTAATTTGGAAAAAAATATTAAAAAACAAGCAATTAGTTTTTCCGGATGATTTAACTTTAGACTGTTTGAAGTCTTATTGAAGATTCTCTTGTTCAAATGTAAGGGGAAATATTTTTCTACATAGACATTTTTCTACATAAAAAGATACCCATTAGTTGGGTACCTTTCTTTCCTACATCATTGGTTACCATTGGTTCCCCATTGGTTACGATGACTAAGAGAGACTGACATGATGACTTTCATGATGAAACGATTTCATTCTCTCTTGTATTTTTTTTCTCTTATTTCGTTTATCAACAAAGTAACTTTTGTCATCGCACCCATCAATTTTAATAAGATAACTAGGAGAGGAGGTTAAGTAGGCGAGTAAATAATACCTGATAAACAATGATGTAAGCAAAATTTTGCTTACATCATGGTTCAAAAGAGCAGAGAATTAATATTTCTGAGATACTCAGTGAGAAATACACAGACATCACCAAATATACAATGGCAGATTGCTAATTACGAAACAGAAAATTATTAGATTTGAAATAAAAAAATATTAAAAAAAACAATGGGTAATAAAGCTCATGTAAAAATCACATTTCCAGGATCGATCTTTCTCTTCAAAATCATCCCAATCTGAAAAAGCACGAATATGTGCCCAAGATTAGTGCATGAAGCCCTGATACCAAAATATTAATTTTTATTTTTGGGTTTTTATTTTTATTTATGATGGAAATTCTTTCCATCTTACCCCATGTAGCTATTTTGGTTTTAAACTTGCTAGCCAGTACCCGAGCTTATTATAAACAAATTATAACAATCAGGATTTCGAGCGATTTAAATTATATTTTGAGAATATTTTATGACGAAAAGTAAAGTGCCATAGTCTGATAACTTATAAACTATGAAGTTCAAATATTACACAAAAATCAAATAAATACATGGGGTCTCCACTACTAAAAAAATGATCTCTACTAACATTGCTTCTAGAGAATTTCATAACCCGACACAAGAGACTTAATTGCCTTTGTATGTACTGCTTAGAAGTACTGCTTTGCATGTACTGCTTACTACTTAGTTCATCTTTCTTTAATTCGCCAAACATAACTTTGACTTAAAATAAAGATGATTCACATACTTGCTTGTCTTTCCTTACTTATAGTGAATTTCATTACCTAATAGAGTCTTAAGAATTACCCCAACAGTTGCTTTACTATGATTGTGTCAAAGGTATATCGAGTTCGTCCTCTGACGTTCATTGTTATCTTGCCTTTATTTACCCTTCAGGACTGAGACAAAAATTGAAGGTGATTCACCTATGTTTTTGTTTTTCGTTACTTATAGTGTTTTGAACCCAACACTAGATTCTTTAAAATTGCCTAAACGGTTAGTACTAATTATAATTGCGTCCAGAGGTGTACCGAGATCGGGATCGTACTAATCGGTTAATCACACGCTGGACAGGATAGGAGTTCCAATCCTGGGATTCAATGGGTCGACATTTTCCCAATATAAAAACATCACAAGTGCTATATTCCTTAATTGATACATCTGATTAAGAAAATAGGTCAAATTAAAAAAATAACAGATTGTTTTTTTTCCTTTCAAAACAAAAAGCATAGTATTTCCTATTGCTCACGATAGATGGCACCACTAAATACTGATATTTCTGTGCAAATTTTGAGGTTGGTACTACTACAAAATTATTGCAGTTTACAAACTGCAGTAACCTTGCAGTGCTTCAACTTCAAAAGTTCTGTAGCTAAATCAACAGTCTTCAAAATTCAATTTCTTTTTTTCTTTTTTCTTTTTTGTAGATTTTATGCAGTTTATTTTCAGCTGGGAAAATCTGCTTTTAACCGCATTTATATAGTTACATTAAATGGATAAACTTCTCTGATAAAATTATATATTTTATAACATTATATATCTTTTTATAACAAAAATCCAACTGGTGTCAAAATTCGTAAAACATAAATGCTAACATATTTTAAAGAGTTAGATATAACCTACTGGGTTTATTTTTTTATTTTTAACACAAAAAAAATATTTTACACATTATGAGTTGAAGAATTTTGTTTTTTCTTTTTAAAGAACTCCCAACCAATGTGAAATAAGGAATGGATAAAGTCTGTTGCCTGGACAAAAGATACTCCGAGCCAAATACCAAGGAATCCGCCAATATAGCTGAATATTTCCACTTTCTAGAATATAATACAAATTATGAATGAAAAATATAAGTTGTATATGAATATAATAAAAGTTTTTATTATTATATTTATACCTCGTATTTTGGACTGAATTCAAGATGTGTAATTTCCTTATCATTAATATGCACATCTACGTATATTAAACTTCTGTAAGAAATATATATTTATACAAATGAAAAAGTTTCAAAATTAAAATAAATTGAATTATGACAGTTATTGTCAGTAAAAACTTACGAATCTTTAGTGTAACTCAATTTAGAAACTGCAGATGAATACTGAAAAAATTGGCACAAGATTTAAAAACATTTTGTTCAAAACAATGAGAATAAGCATTATTTTCTGACTGATATAGAACACAAAAACGAACGATTCTTTTTTATAATGACGCTCTGGTAATTACTTTACATAAAATTATCAAAATCGTATGGTCTTTTTGTTTGAAAATAAATCTAGTAAACTTAAAAACTACATAAATAGTAAATTTGGTAAATTTATTTTTCCTCACTATGACCAACGTTTTAACCCCTAACTCTTAAGTGCGTTTATTTGTTGCGCCACTAGGTAACATCGTATTCATTTCAAAGAGGTAACTGATACAAATGTTCTATCAAAGAATTTATGGATGTCATAAACTACTTTTTATATAACAGGCAACAGATTGATACATTTAATAATTATCATTAATAAAAATCTTCACTTTAAAAATAAAAAAACCCATAAAATGAAAATATTTATGTTTGCATGCATAATAAAAAACATTATTTTTGAAACACTTAAAAATAAGCATAGAAAACGTAGAGAAATACAACAAAAATAAAAGAATAATTTTCAGAACCGGAAAAAGAAGTAGGGGTAAATTGGTTAAATCGGGAAGCTGAGATTCAAAAGTAAATTGAAGCTAAACTGTTTGACCGATAAACTATAGCATGTAATCAAGATAGTCTTTGTTTAGTTGTGTACAACATATCATTCATGAAAAGTCATAGATGTACTGCCTTTTTTACCAATATTTTTTTTCTAGGAAAAGTTACATCGCCTACTATTGTAATGACCACTTTACCCCACTAGTGATGTTAAACCGGATGCGCATGTTATCTCAATAAAAAATTTGAAAATACTTGAATTTCAGAGAAAAATAGCAGATACTTCTACTTTATGTGAATAATTCTGAAAATTGTGCTTGTAATTTAAATGTGATGTAGACAAAGTCGTGCTCAAGAGGAAGGAGAAAAACAATACACCCGAACCCCGGAACTGCAAAGAGCCCTACTAAAATTTCTTAAAAAAATATGTTATTAGTAGGTTTAGTGGGTTATTAATTTATTGTTAGTATGGTTTTTTTTAAAGAAAATTGGCGAGAATTTCTTTTTATTTATATAAAAAGTACTATTTTGAAAAACGAGTCTTCAAAAATTTTACAAAATAAAGCTTTTTGTACTTTTAGGATGGGGTCCACAATAAATTTTGCCTTGAGGTCCATAAAACCTTTTTCCAACCCTGGATGTAGTTGCTTTCTTTCTCCTCTACCCTTTCGTGCATTCATTAATCTGACATAGAGACATATCAGAGGAAAGCAAGAACAGGTATTACCCGATCTTGATAAGATAGTTAGACATAAGCCTGGAGAGATAAACAAAACGCAACAGAGCAGTGCAACTATTGGATTAAATCCTTATTGTTTGTTAGTGTATGCATCTTTAGTCGACGTATAACTAGCTGGGCTAAATTTAATTTTTGTAACTGTAGTTACCATTAAATAAGGTTAATTTAAAAACAGAAAAAAATTAGAGAGTTAACGTAGTAAAACAAACTCATCTACACAGACACCGTGAATTAATCAACAACGCCAATATGGTAGGTCCTTCTTCTTGACTATTAAAGTATAATTCAGAGTTTGCCTGCTAGAAAACAAAATTAATCTCTACACAATCCATCCTTACAACACTATCAGTGGTTTTTACCTCACTCTTCCTTACAAAAAATTTTCAGTTTCGTCACGAGATCGTCATGACGAGATCAATCTTTTTCAATCAGTTGTATGCAGAATAAAACATTTTTTTCCTAAGGGAAGGGATTTAATTTATAATAACATATGTCTCTGGAACTGGAATATTTCAGGTCCAGTTCCAGAGGCCTTAAGATTCCAAGTTATTGGTCCAAGATTGATTGAAATTGCTGGAAACTTGGTTTGCTTGGATCATGTAAATGAGCATCCGAGTTCTTGGTCCAAGCACTTGGATGATAGTTGAGCATGCTCTACTTCTAATTCAATCCACGTTTTTCCTCCCTTAACTAATCAGAGTGTGACATTTTGTAAAGTCAGTAAGGCATAGGTCATTTTGTTACCCGTTTTCATATATTTTAATCGGAATAAATAAAAATGTTAGGATTTAGTTGTATTATTATCATTTTATTTCAAGTTCTTTTGTAATTTTGAATTCAAGAAAGTATGATTTTATAATGTTGACTATGAACAATGCGCATGAGCTGGCTATTCATCCGACCAGTCATGACACTCAAGAACTTGGATAGTGTCGACTAATCATCCAATTTCTTAGAGAGAGAAATTCCTCCAAGTTCTCGGATTCAAGAACTTCAATTGTATAAACAGGTCTTTATTTTTACAGTCCTTCGGTATTTGTTTTCGTTTCAAGAATTCTCCACAGCAGCATCTGTTGGCAACTCTTGTAACTAAATTCAAATATTTTGGCATACTCCATCCACTCTAGACATACTGTTTGTTTCAGTCCTCTATCACCTTTTGTTTTTGAGATTATTAACAATGAAATTAGTCAGTCCTCAGCTGAACATCTTGAGCAATGAGATGTCTTGAAACAGAAAAATTATATTCTTTTTCTGAAATTTCATAAAGAAATATAATTTAGCTCCAAAAGTTTAATTATACTAGGCATACCCCAATAGTTGTCCTACTATTTAAAAGCCAGATTAAGACTGTTGTTGAACTTTTAACTTTGAAATGAAAATGCATGAAGAATTTCGTTACATGAGTGAAAACAATTAAATATAAATATCCATTTATATCAAACCATTTCTAATATTATTTGAGAATATTGTTGTACTTCGAAAACGCTTCATACCGATTCTTATACAACTCTTAGAGTTTAGGATTTTACAGTTAACGTTTATGGATATCAAAGCAAAATTTTAAAAAAGCTTACAGTTTATCTGAACTTACAAAACTCAAACGTTAATCTGCTATCAAAAGTAAGTCCCCTATTAAGTAAAATATATAAAGTTAATTACTTACAAAACTTAGCTGTAAAGGTTTTTCTAGTATGGTGTACGTATAAATCGTCTCCCTGAAAAACGAATGTTAAAAAAGGTAAAAAAGAATCTAAGACATATAAACTTACAAGTTTTTTTGTGTTTAAATACATCCTTAAAATGCTTTAAAAGATATTTTGGGAACATTAGCTAATAAAAATTAACTATAACTTGTTGACTCCATACTTACTGACATTCCTCTTTACAATCTTTAAAACAGTCATATATGGTTCCTCTACTCATGCGTTGACATTCTGGACTTAATTTTCGAACTGAATCTGAAAATTTACAATAACTTAAGTTTTTTTCGAAAATAATAGCAATGATTATCATTTAATAAAACTTTAGTATGGACGTCTTTTCTGAGAAGAATATGAAAATAATTACAGCAATAAGATTATTGTGAAGACAGTGAGCAAATAATTACATTGAATAAGTTGTGTTTTTGTGAATAAGCCTTAAGAATTACATTAAACTTATTTTATTTCTGAAAATCTTTTAAAAATAATTAGGGACGGTCTAGGAAAGATGAACGGAGTTTATTCAAATAAATATAAAAGCACTAAAGATATAAATATAGGAAATGCATATTCATATTTTAAATTTTCTCAAATGTACTGAGTATATATTGGGCAAAAAATAATTGAATATTAAAAACAAAATATGAAGAAAAAAATTTTTTTTGGGTTAAAACTAATAAGTGGACATTTCTCTTTAATGTCGAGGTGAGGTAGCCATTTAATAAGGGCAAAGATAAGACACTTCTCATATATAATTAACAATGAAAAATTTACAAATAACTGTAAGAAATGAATTTTATCCTGGAAAATAAGGAAAGAGAATCTAATCAACTAAATCTAATGAGCAAATTTATTCCGTCACTTTGGAATCACTTTACTACATTGCTGGCAATGGTTTTCAAAGTTTGTACAAGTTTCGTAAAGCCATTACCCTACATATACCATCCAGTCATCAAATTTAGCTGTGGTATTGTATTTTTTTCCACAACTAACACACAGGTATTTATCAAATTCTGAGAGTATAGAATCAAGTAAAATGTAAGGTTCTTTCTATTATGTTATATGGTTCCATCGGAAGATATGTTAGGAGTGTAGAATTGGAATGTAATATTCAGTGTTTGTACTGTCCTCAAAATTTAAAAAAAAAAGTGATGTAAATATTGAAATAAAAAATCTAATGATTTATTTTGTTCGTAGTTTGCTAATGGTTTCTTCTTAAAATTAACGAAACCAAACTAAAACCATTAAAGAATCCGAATATTTCATAAGTAGTTTTAATTATTTTGAGATATTGAGCGTGGTGGAGAAAACTAATTTACTAAAATATGTCTCATTTTCTTAATTTTGCTATCTAATTTTAAATTTTTTATGAAACCTACAATCCTTTATATGACGCTACCTATTGATAAAAAGTGACCATATCTTCTCGATTTTATGTGGAACATAATGATGAGATATCAAAAGAATTTGTAGTGTTAATTCAACTATAATATTCCTCTTCTTTTTTACTCTGGATCAAAAATTGAACTATGTTTGTGTGTTTTTCAAAAAAACAAAAATAACTTGCACATTGAAAACGCAACAGAACTCTTAATTCCCGTAAAATGTTTGATACCTAAATAAAATAGCCATTCAAATCTTGCCTACTTTTTGCTGTCTCAAAAAGCAATGCTTTGTCCAAATTGATAAACAAAATTAACTCCTTCTTGCGAAAAATTAATATGTAATATATTAAATAATGTGGTAGATATTTAAGTAGGTCACCTTTCCTCTATGGCCATATAACCTAGTTTTACCTTTCAAAAAATGTGTTTTATTCAGAAAATAACCTTAACAGTTACAATAAAACCATTTTTTTCTGAAAATAATCTGAAAATATGAACTATAAATTAATTTTATTTTTAAAATTATTTTAGAAACAATTATCGCAATTTGATTGTATTTTTTAAATAGTTTGATATAATTACATTCAATTGATTTATTTTTGTTAAATAATTGCAATGAATTGATTTATTTTTGTTAAATAATTACAAATAAAATAATAATTATTATAAAGTTAAATAATTATTTTTGTTACGTAATTAATTCTTAGTAAATCTATCATTTAAGTAAGTCTTTAAAATCCATTCAATATCTATAATCAAAATACATATTTTTATTATTTATAAGTTTACTTCTTCAAATAGTAATTTTTTTAAATCCATCCATTAATGATAACAAAAAGGGGCGATTTCTTTTTTTTTCATTTTTTTAATTATAAAGTTAGATTAATAAAAAAGTATGATATTAATTAGATTTATATTTATGCGTTGAAGGTACTTGTTTATGCGGAACACACTGGAAAAATAGAGAGTCCATTCTCATCAATTTTAATTTGCAAATTAAATTTATAAGTACTTACATATAATCTGAACATTTTACATTTTTTTATTAAATAAATGTCTGATTAAATATGAAATTCCAGCTCTTGGGAATTTACACAAATTGAATATTGTCCAAACTGTATTTGTACGAAATACTGTCTTCTTCTAAACAGGTTTTTCCCTTCGACGAGTAAATTATTACCCTATTAGAGCACTTTAAGAATTTTATATAGTAACTTGCTTCACATTTCAAATGGAACAATTGAAATTCTATAAAACTAAATTGCTCTCTCAAAATTATTAAAAAAAATAGTGTATACCTTTTTCTGAACAGGGTTTTAATTTCGAAGGATAAATTATCGACCTCTTAGAGCAGTTTAAACAGTTTGTGTAGTAATTTGCTTCACATTTCAACTGGCACATCTGAAATAACAAAATAAATAATAAATACTTTATATAGTAAACTAAACTCATTGGCACGACAGCTCATAGAGGGCCAAGGCCTACTGTGCCCATCTCAGTTTTCTTGACCTTGGGCTCTGGAGTGCAGTAGTAGATGTTCCGGTCAGATGGTCAGCCGAACGTGGAACCCCCAGTGTTTAGTTCCCAAGCTTGGTACTCATTTATCGACCCACTGAAGGGATGAAAAGCTGAGTCAACCTTGCCCGGCCCGAGGTTCGAACCAGGGACCTATGCCACGACAGCGCGAAGAGCTACCGCTCAGCCACCGGACATAAATACTTTATACAGATATATTAACAAAATTTAAAAATCTTACGACAGTGGAAATATAAATAAAAAAAACTTTCTATTGATTTCAATAGATAATGTTTAATTTTTTAATATTTTTTTTCAACTTTTCTATTTGCGTGTAAAATCCAAGCAGTTTTTTCCATCAATTTGTACCGATCTTAGTAAAAATATTTTTACCCTGTAAAAATTTATATTTGTTACCCGGTCTGGAAAAATAGTATGTATGTAAAGAAGTATATAAATCGCATAATTTCTCATCGAGCAACCATTTCAGAAGATATATTTTTAACGAAATTTATTGCACGACGATATAAATAAAAGAATGTTTTTTTTTAATTTGTTTAAACTAAATTTTAAAAAAAAATTGTTTCTAAAAGATATCTGGAATGGCTGTTCAGATTATGATCCATTATAGTAAAACTTAAGTATGAAGTAAAGATATATGCTATTAGTGGAGTTAATGATAACTTAACTTTTTATTTCATTTATTTATATCTTTAATATTATTTAATAATTCATTTTCTATTAAACGCAGACTATTTTCAAAATATTTTCATAAAATGATAGTACATGTAATGAAATATGTTTTAACTATCATTGTTTAGTTTTTACTTATATGATAATTATAAACATGATTTTTGTGTAAAGAGATCTACCGATGAGATTTTTTAAATTGCTTAATACTCTGTGAGATATTTTACTATATAACCAATATGGAACAGAAGATTCATATAAAGGTTTTGATATACTTAATAATGCTATTTCCGTACCTTAATAATTTTAAGCCCCAAAAGGTAAAGTTAAGAAAAACACCAAACAAGGAACAAATTCGTTTTTGTGAAAAACTTTTCTGTGGAACTAACGCGTATTTAAGTAACACGCCAAAAAAAACACAAGAGCAGAAAACGGTAACAGAACTTTAATCAAACCTGTTGGATATTGAATTTATTGAGCTATAACAATGATAAGACACGCTTTCTAGTAGAAATTTAGTTTAAAGTTTCCGATGTCAAATATTACTCCTACCTGCTTCCTTTCATTATAAGGTGCAAATCAGCTTATACTAAAAATGCGAAAAATATTTCAGAGTGAGTTTTTTATTGAGTTGTGCGAAAATAATTGTCTCAGTTTGTAATATATTTTGGTTTAGTAATACATAATCTGAATCAAGTAATATATTATCACCTTAGATTCTTGGGATTACATACTTAATACTGTATTTAATACTGAATTTAGACTTTAGGAACGTGATAGATATATCCGTTATCAAAAATACGAGAAATCATCAACTGCTGCACATTGTTGGAATCTTAGGCATAAATTCAATGACGAATTCGCTTAAATTATTTTCACGTCAGTCACATCAGCCCATCTTAACACCCTGGAATCTTATCTTTATATCTTGAATCTGTATTCATATGAATACTGATTCCCTACTAAACGACATTAGTTCCTCACTACATCTCTATAGTAGTGCCTCTCTGTCCCCTCGGTCACCGTGATTATTCTTAATTTTTTTTTTTCATCTTTTTATTCTATCGCTCTTAGTTTCGTTTCTCACTTTTATTTTTCTTTTTTTCGTAGGCAATTTCATGTTTTATATTCCAAATCAATTTTGCTTCTTCTCAATTACGTTCGGAAGGCTTTGCAAATGGGCGACCATTTTTGAGCGCTTGAAACATGTTAACTCTTATTTCCAATTTCTACATTTTTGAATCAATCTGTACAATTTCATATCAATCTAAACAAAAAAATTTAATTTAACTTTAATTAATTTTAATTACAGCTTCAAACTATTGTACTAATAAAGTAGGAAAAACTAGTGTCTAAACTATCCAGTAATGAAAAATTAAACGTATTCATAATTAAAGCATTAACTTAACTATCATTATTATTGTTATTAAGATTTACCTTTTTCTTGGATTGGCTTTATTATTATTATATCTTTCCTTTTTTTTCAACACTATAGAGATTTACATCGAAAATATTAAGAATTTATCATCGCTAAAACTTTTAAACTTTCAACATTGAAGATCTATATTTCTAAGCACTAAAAAATATTATACCCACTAAAATATTTATTCTTTTATCATTATTAAATAATATTTCCTTTTAAAAGACTAAGATTTTTATCATTATTAAAACATTTACCTTTTTCGATCGTGGTCCAGATTTCCCATTTTCTAACCAAAGCTTGATATAATCTGTGCAATTTGTTTTATAGGGAGGGGGGAGCCGTCTCTCTTCTTTCTATACAAGTTTGTATGAAAAAAATTTACATAAATTAAGAAAATCTGTAAAATGAAGTTTCTGTTGCAATAAAAGTAATTTACATTGAATATATATATTCAATATATTCAATATATATAATTAAATTCAATGATAAAATCTGGTTAAATTTCAAAAAAATGCTATCTGTGCACTAAAATAAATGTCTTGATATATCTGTCAATATACTTAATATATCGCCAACTCCATCAAGTGAAAAAGTGCCGAGCAGAATTCAGTACCTTTGTTCCTGAACCGTTAAACACTGTAGTCTGTTAAAATTATTAATCACTAGTACTTTTTCATGAAATAGATTTACTCATTGATTCACAATATTATCATCTGACAATATTTTTTATTATTCATCATGTGTCGTTATTTTTGGGCATTTATCGTATGTCTGTTTTTTGTGATATATAATGTTAGTAGGTATTTATCCTGTTAATGTTTTATCTTGAAAAGATTTTTTTTAAAATTGTTTTCTCGANAAAAGACCTTTCCCATTTTTAATGCATAATTAATTACGTTGATATCGAAATTCATTTCTGATTCATTGCCATTCTAATTGATTATAAACTTAAGTCATGACTAAAAAATTTTTTTTCCAATTATATATCTCTTTTGGTCATTGTTGATGAAATTTCGGGTTTTTATTGCTAAAATGTATTATTACAGGTTACTCTAGAGTAAAATGCGAGTGACATCAACTCGATTCAGTTTAAGTCGGTGCCATGAGAACTGTAAGGGAAGTACTTGTAGCCTATGGAAGCTAAAAATGTAGATCTTTTAATATTAACTGCGTTAACTAAATTGATTTTTAAATCTGAAGAGTCGTTATCCAGCAAGGAGGGAATTAAAAACACTAAAAGCATCCGAAGAAACCGAAATGCATTTCCAAAATCACTTTTCGCTTCATTTAGTTTTAGATTGCAATTAGATTGGTTTCGATTTTTTTTATCTAGCTAATAATTCATTAGATATAGATAATTTGTTTTCTTTTTTCTTTTTTAAACAATAACTTGCAGCTCCTAACGTATAAATTTTCTTATTGATCTAAATATATATATTAAAGTGGGTGCTTAAAAAAACTTTGGTAAAAGTATACAGTGACATTTTAATTGGCGATATTCAGTTATCTTTTAGATCCAGATGAAGAGTTCTATTCAGAACTTTTTTCTGATCTACTCAAAAATTTTACGAATGACATACCTTATTTTTTAAGCTATTCTAAGAGAATTCAAAGGTATTCCCCACTTTTTTATATAAACATGTGTATTTGATGAAACGTTTACTTATATGTTTAAAAATAATTTTATTAGAAATATTTTTATAAATGCTATTACTCACCTTTCCATAGTCTAGAGATAGAGTGCTGTGCGTATTTTTACTATTAAGATGAGAGTATTCTAAGACAGTGCTCTCCAATCTTTTTTATCGCCGCGGACCGGTCAACGCTTGTTAACTTTACCGTGGACAGCTGAAGGAAAGGTGGCGTGGACGTTGATTGTTTATATTTTTAAGGTTTCGATTTAATAACTTTAATTCAATTGTATTTAAAAATGTCTTCAAGACAAAATACAATTACATATACCTTATTGGGTGCGGCTTTAGGTGACGGATCTTAGTTTTAAGTTTGTCACAGATTAAGTTTTATTTCAACTAACAGTTAGCCTCTCATCCAAGGAAAGTCGCACAAAACCGGGAGAAATACACCACAGTAATAATTTAATTTCTTTAGATCTGCCGGTACCATTTGATAACCGGCTGCCCATGGATTAGGAACGGACCACTGTCCTAAAGCAGCAAAAACGTATGGTTGCATAATATTTAAAGTTCCTGTTAAATTAGTAGGTGATGTTAAACCCAGTAAAATGGCTCGCTATTTTTTTTTTCAAAAATTGTTAAGAAGTATCGTTTTTGGATAAGAAGTAAGTACCTAATCCTATTCAATTTAAAACTGAGTATTTATGTTTAAAATACTTACCATTTCAACGTTTATTCGGTATGATTTACCTGGACGAAAAAAGTGCCCAGATAAAAAAGGATTAGATGCGTCGAACTGCGAATGAACTGTAAAAAATATTCCTGCGGGAATATCAGCCTGAAACATCTCAGGTGGCTTAAAGACAAAATCTCTAAGGTGGATCAACTCTAATAAAAATAAAAATAAATTCACTCTCATTACTAAAATTAAATATTAATAAACTATATATATTTTAAGTTTTTAATTCGTGTATAGTTGATTTCTAACTTTTCATTCACATATATGGGTGATTCTCACGAAACATGACAATTGGGACCTAAACATTTCTTCAAATTTAAAGTCTTCAAAATAATCTAAAATTTTGTTTGTATACTTCTTTAGCTACACTTATTAATATCTTATAGACAGCAGTGTAGTTTATTGACATTTGCTCGAGAAAAAAAATAAAATAGAAATTCACCAAATCTTGAATGCCAGGAAAATGACATATTACCTTAGAAGTTTAAAAAACAGTCATTTTAAGTTAATAGTAAGTAACTCAACTTAAGCCTTTATGTTAGATGAACCATAAATTGCTTAAATTAATTCTTTTCATCCACTGTAGAAAGAAACAAAAAAAATTTTGTTACTCATATGTACAGATTAAAATTGTGCATAATTATCAATCATTAAATAAATAAATAACTTTGATTACATCCAAGCATATTATAATCATACATAAACTTGGTATTAGGTTAATATTTGCTTTCCCTCTTTATAGTATTAGCAGTTAAAAATAATTTCTGATAACACTTAAATGTCCTGGCATTCATAAGCCATGAAAATGACAGCCTGGATAATGACAAATTCGATATTTTATAGCGTATAACTTTACTTTAATTTAATATTTTGGCCGAAGACGTTTATATTCTGCAGAAAACAACAGTATTTCTTAAAATAACTCAGATAAATCTATGTTGTTTTTGTTATTAATGATTTCATGAAGCCAGGAAAATGACAGCATGAAAACCTACTCACCTTGAAAAAATTTTTGATATAGGTTTTGAGCCAGAAAATTGGTTCTTTATTCATACAACAAGACATGCTCAGTTAGGAGGGTATCTAATCAATCTATTAACATTAGATATTGATTCCTGGCGCTAACTATTTTGCTTATAAAACACTAAATAAAAGCAGCCAGGAAAATGACAGATTTTCATGGGACAAACAAATTATTGACAAAAAAAAAAACTATTTTAAACGAAGTTTTAGTAAACGATACCCTCTGCGGATGTTCTAGAAATGCTTACCTAGGATAAGATAAAAAAAATTAGATTTTGAAAAATGTATGGGAAGTTTTAAAGCTAGTTATTATTGGAAATATTGTTTGAGACAAGCCTGGAAAATGACATTTTGAAATTCAATTAAATTTTTTAAGTATACAAAACAGTCAATGCTAGTGCAAAGTCATTTTAAAATGCTAACAGCAATGCTATTTATTAATTTTTTTTAAAAAAAAGTTCTTCTAGTGACCAAATTTTC